AAAGAACATTGTGGCTCCACTCCACAATACCGTAACAGTTTATAACTCTTGCATCTTGTGGGTGACGGCCCTGATTTTGTCCCGCAATCTGTTCTGCGCCCTTTGTATTTTCGATTAACACTATGAAGCCCACTTCCCTTTGGGAGGGCCGACAGTCCTGACTCCCTCCATTTTTGCGCTCGAAAAGGCGCCAATTGAAGCTCTTCCAGTGTCAACATGGGCTCTATTTGTGATCGTAGAAACTGATAGCATGTGCGGGTACTTTCCTCGGACATCCATTCTTCAGCGTTTTTGAGTGTTCCTACAGCAGCCCAGGCGGCCCTTGCATCCATAAGCCCGATGTTCTGTTGTAGAACATCCACAATATGCCGTGCCCGTTCTGGCTGTCCTGACACAACTTAGAACGTGGCTTCTCATCTTGATGGTGACGTGCTCCCAACTGACTACGTTCGACGTTCTGGGTCCATTCAGCAGGTACACCTTTGTGCCGCAGGCAGTCCAGAGATCTATAGCAGATATTACTGCGAGCCATGCGGTTACCTTGCGCGGCTCTTCCGGCGGCAGGATTAGAACCACGGCTCCAAGGTTGTCCGTGAAGAGACTGTCCTGTTTCGTCTTAAATGCTAAAAATTCCTCGTAGAAAAACGCATGTGCGCGGTTGCCACCAGACACCCATGCCATCCTTCTCAACACTATGGGGACAACGATGAGAATGCGGTCACGCACTCGGTCCAACATCGAACTGGTATCAAAATCGTCTCTTCGATTTTTCTCGCAGTCAGCCATCCGAGCTCGAAGATTCTTTTCGACACCGTCGGCCATCCTCCTGTTGGCGACCCTGGTGCATGATGGAAGCTGGCTCAATGGTCCGCGACATGTTACTGATATGGGCTCACTTGTTCGTGAACACCGCATATGCAAAGCCCTGCGCACGTGGATCGATCACTTTGTCAGACAGCGGTTCGCAAGTGAAAAACTCGGCCCTCGTCGCCGGAAAGTCTTGACCTCGGCATCGGAATTGTTCGTGCATGATGTGACCTTCATCGGGAACATTGAACTCGTGTTCCTTTCTGAAGTGAGCAAATTGAGGAATAGATACGGGAACTTTACCACTCTCTTCACTCTCTTCCTCCTGGTCTTCCCACTCACTTGCTCGTTTGGAATTTCATCTGAGAGCATGTGAGAAGTAAGTCATACTGAACTTTGATTGCATCTTCATTGCTGCCTATTTTAGTGATCGTCGCTGAGGTTTCGTCAGTATGCAGTACGCGATATGGCCCGTCCCAGCCTATGGTCAATTTGGGATGTTTTCCTCGAGCCTCTTCTCGTGGTTGCTCCATGAACACCCTTCCTCCCACCGCTGGAAGAAGAAAAACGTCCACATTCTTACTCTTGTCACACCTTCCTTCATTTCAGCCCTATATTTCTCATTTTTGGCTCGTACCTCCTCTCTAATTGGCTGGGGCCCATTAAGTAAATCTGTTCGATAATCGTCGACGAACACCTTGTACATGGAAGCATCAGCACAGGCATGGTAGATGAAGGTATGACAGGGTCAATTCCGTGAAGTATGAAGAAGGGGCTCTCACCTGTAGCTCCATGTGGGGTAACATTATATGCATAAACCACATGAGGCAGCATCACGTCTCACCTATCGGGCTCTTCCACCTACTTTTTTCAGCATCCTTTGAATAGTTCCGATGGCACGTTCACTGACACCATTTTATCTTGAGTTATAACCCTTAGTGACGGAGCGCTTAATTCCAGCCACTGTTGCTAGCTCATCCAGCAAGGAGTTCAGAAATTCTGTGCCTCGTTCAGTGTGGATTCGTTCGGGTCAACGCCCTCCTTCACATATCCAGCGATGAAATAAAGTGGTCGCGACTGTAGCAGCACTTTTGTCAGGCATTGCATATGCAACTACCCATTTGGAGAAATGGTCGATCACGACTAGCACATATTTCATTCCCGACAGACTGGTGCTCATCTCCAGTGTGTCAGCTGCGACTGTCTCGAGAGATTTGCCTGTGACAAACGGTTTTAGCGGCGGAATCATGCGCTTGTGCGGATTTGTCAACAAGCAGCTCGTGCAACCTTTTGCTCAGCGGTAGATATCGCTGGCATACCATGCCAAAAGACAAGTTTTTGCAGTTTGTAGCATCTTCTTGGCGGAATGATGCCCTGCTAGAGAGCCACTGTGGTTCTCGTCGAAATTTTTTTCTGTGTTCCTTCGGAACATTTGGGACAGCTGTCCCATTTTTTGTTGGAACTTTAAGTGGCCTTCGACTAAGAAATCGGCAACTTTAACTCTTTTGTGATGATGGCAATTTTACTTCTTTTTCGTGGTTTCCTTCCTCCAAGGCAACGATGATCGATCCATAATCAATATTTACGCAATTCATCCAACCGTTTCGAGGCTTCCTGCGCTTCGTCGCTGCACACTATTTTTTCTTCTGCGACCGCGTCTTCGACTTCGAGCGTGTTTATGGGTATGCCGCGAGATAGTGCATCAGCCACAGGGTTTGTTGTCCTTTTTACATAGTCGATCGATAAACGGTACTGTTGGATTTCCAAAGCCCATCTGAGTATGCGAGCAGATACAATGACCCTCCGAAATATGGCAGTCAAGAGTGCGTGATCCATCTTTGCGACCACTTCCATGTCGTAAATGAATGAATGGCATTTCTCTAAGGCAAATACCAGTACAAGTGCGTAACAGCTCGGTCGGTTCGAGGTCGGTAACATGGTAGTTCCTCTCGGCTTTTGACAATCATTTTGACGCGAAGTATATCGGATGGAGAAATTCATCCACTCCTTGCTGGCAAAGCACTGCCCCTACGCCAAGACTGGATGTATCCGTATAGATTACGTAGGGATTCTTCCCTGACTGTGTTTCTTTCACATCCGGCTGCGCCAGAACCGGTGTGGTTGACAGTACTTCTCTAGCTTGCTAAAAGCTTCACCATGAGAAGTATCTCAAATCCACCGTATTTTCGTCCTTGTCAGCTCGAACAAAGGACCTGCTTTTTCTGAAAAGTCAGCACAAATTCTCGGTAGTACCTGCGTTAGCCTCCAACAATGCGTCTATCACCAACTGTAGAACTTCGTAGTGTCTACTTTCCGACGCAGTAGCAATAAGGTTATAGTCAATGTAGACGGAGACCTCCTTGTTTTTAAGTTCGCCCAGCACCGTGCCCATTAGACGTTGGAAAACGGCGGGCGGTGGTTAATTCGAATGGAAGAACAGTAAATTGAAAGAGGCCTCCTGAAGGTATAGAAGCGCTCTTTTCCTTTGCTGCTGCAGTCAGTGGTATCTGCCAATATTCCGAGGCCATGTCCAGCGTCGAGAAATACCGTTTGCCCTGCAGACTTTGCAGCATGGCGTCAATTCCTGGGAGTGGGTAGGCATCATGCTTTGTACATTTGTTTAGTTAGCGAGAGTCTATGCATAAACGAATACTACCGTCCTTCTTCCGCACAAGCACTAACGGCGACGCCCATTCAAATATTGACTGTTCATTGATTCCTCTCTGTAACGGACCGCTCAGAATATCCTTGAACTCATCACGGGCACCAATAGGAACCGGGCGGGTCTGTTGGCGGATTGGTTTGGTGTCCTCCGTGTCGATATCGTGATCTACCGAAGAGGTTTGCGTCAACTCGCTGTCTTCTACAGCAAAAACATGATTGTTATTTTCTACAATCTCTTGCATCTTAGATGGCAGCGCTCTTCCGTTCCTGTTTCTGATTAACAACTCGAACAAGGTATTCAACCTTTTCTTCACAGACATCGACATGCCTTGACTGCGCAGTATGTCTGCTGGAGTGTCTCTGAAGCGGAGTTCATTCCAGTAGGCTTTTTCCCACTCTCCTACCTCCCGACCTTTTCGCATCACCATAGGCTCTTCGCTTGTGTTGACGACCGCTACCTTCGTCATTCCATCAATGTCTATCTTGCATAGACCGTTTGGGACCATTTTGTCTTTCGTGTTCAGTACTGCTTCTGACCATTCTTCCTCACACTTGAGGTCCACGTATTTGGTTTGTCCGGGAGCTATCAAGACTCTCTGTTTCACAACAGCCACAGGATTCGATGCTGTTTCTTCTTGTTGTTAAACACGTCTTCTTTTCTCTCGATGCTCGCAGACTTCTCTTGACCTGATATCCCATCGATGGAATAGCGTTGGTTCCGTATGACCGAATCCTCTTTGCCTTTGGGCACCAACACTTGCACCGGAGTTCTGGTGTTTTCCCTCCTGTTTACAACATCTAACTCTACTGCGGTCAAAAAATCCATAACCCTTCCCAAGGCATGTGTAATTTTCATTGACCTGGATAGTGGAACTTCCTTGACAGCGGTATCAGTGTCGTTTCTATCATTCATTGCTTGCTGAAGCACTTCTGCTGGAAAGACAGACACTTCTAATCCCGTATCCAGAAGCGCCTTCCAATCCCTACCCAAAATCGTCACATCGACTGTTGACAATGGTTGGGAGAAGCTTCCTACATGGCCTTGTCTGCTTGGTACAGGCGGCACTGCACCCTACTTTGCGAACCCGTGCCGACAGTGACATGGCAGTGCCAGAGCTACCGCTGGCAATGCTCTTACACACACGTGCCTTGTGTCCTGTCCTTTTGCACTTGAAGCACCTCGTACCCTACGCTTCTTTGGTCGCTCTGTTTGTTCCCAGATCAGCCTTACTGCTTTCCGGATCCTGTTCCACATGTACCTCTTTTGGGCGTCACATTTGTAAGCTTTTCCCTTTCTTTGGCGTTCATGGGCTTGATGAAGGCCTAGCCCCTGCGCGATTTTCGAGAGCCTAATGCCTCCTTCCGACCCTCAATGCGGCATCCTTCAGCCTTTCAAACATGTCGCTACCACCCTTCTAGCGCCTCTTGTAGATGAGCTTTGTCCCATGAAAGAGCTGGTCGTGTAGGTAATCCGCGCGGATGACTGATAATGTCCTTTCCTCCAACTCAGTATAGACTCTACGTGTTAGTCGCTTCAATCCTACGCAAAAATCCCCTACCGACTGTGTTTCTGGTTTTTGAAGACGCTGATTTTCTTATTGCGCGTCTCTTCCTTGCCCATCTCTTCCATTCACTAGTTTGTAAAAGTTGCGCTTTTTAGTTTTGGCCAGCGCTTCATGCTGCGCTCTTGCCTTACCCATCAACTTCGATTTGAACAAAGCGCAGCCTTCTCTATCATCCCAATATTGGCCGGGATATCTCAACGCAAACGCTTCTACAAAATTTTCAAATGAGTACTCCTTTTCTTCCCCTGAGTACGGCGAAACATCAGGCAAGGCCACATATCTCAAATATTCGCTCATTGTATCTTGGGTTCTTAATCTAGACCTTCTATGATGTTTCCTTCTCACTCTCAATATTTGACCCCTCTACTAAACTATTGCACGTACCTCGCGGTGTGGAGGTCCTGCTCGACAAATTGTTGGAGCTCACCTGCCGACAATCTTTCTTGCTCACCAGCGTGTGCCAGCCAATCTGCAATTTTGCACTTTTTTCTTGGCTATCATTGACATCGCTAGGCGTGCACCTTGACTCTCCTGGTATCGTGGAATGGCACCTGCATGTTCTTCACGACTACCAGAGGCTTCCAATTCAGCTACTCGGCGCCTTTGCTTCTCCAGCTCTTCCTTTAGGGCTCTTATCTCGTCGTTCTTTTTGATACACAGCTCCTTTAACGACGAAATTGTACTTTCCAGGGTTTCCTTACTCTTTACTAACCCTTTTACACAGCGCTCAACTTGCTTTAGATTACTAGCTAGCTCCTCTTCTTCGTTCCCGTCCGCGTACTGTTTCACTACATCTAGCGCGACTATGACACTGCTGCAACTCTCTCTGCAGTGCCCTTTAGTCGCTCTAATTTCTTTTGTATGCGTGTCATGCTTCTCTCCACTACGGCCTGTATTTGGTCACTCCTCCCATCGCCTAGACGGAAGTGTTTCGAAATTTCCGCTAGAATTTCCACCCGTAGACGAGTAACTTTCTCTATCTGCTTCTCAACGTCCGAATCTGAGTCACAACTATGAGCACTGATTGTGTCCTCGATCTCACCGGCCGTTAGTGCTGGCTCTTGCAACTCAGGAACAAAACAAGTTTGTTCATTCTCAATGGGATCGGACTTTTTATATTTTGCATTTCAAGAGACATCTCGCTACACAACAATATCGAAAAGTTGTGTGCGTGTCTTGGCCTTTTCCTTTACGACCACTCGTGCTTCAGCACGACTGGGTGGTCCGTCGGCACTTCACAGTGTCACGCCTGAAGGCTAAGACACCACGGTATCAAGGACAGCAAAAGCTACCGGTACCGCTGATCGATTTCTGACACCCTTTTTAAGAGCCGTCAGAGATCGTATATTACTGACACCCAACTAGGAGCCGTCAGTACAAGTGAAGTTGCAAATTTGAAGAACCCGGTGTGACCACTGAGATTCGCTTGGCTCCCAAGTCAAAATAATTGCGGGAAGTGTGTGTACCCCTGTTTTCCTTCTCGTGGTCACAGTAGGATTCTTCAACGTGCAACTTTATGAGCGAATAACAGTAGTTAATAGGAACACAATAAAAATAGATTTAATAGTGACGAGTTCGTGGAGGTGGGTGGTGGCGCTGACGAATGGCGACGGCGTCCCGACG